GCGCGCAGGTGACACGCTCTTCAGGAGCTTCGTGGAACAACGCCGAGAAAGATCAGCGAGGCACGCATTAACACAGACGAAACCTCGAATCGAGCGGAAGTTATCGATATCGAGATCGCGGTTGAGAAAGGGTGCCTGAGGATTTGAGGAAAATTTTATTGGGGATTTTTCATTTGGATGGGAAATGAACCCGAGCGATTCCAGAAGTCCATCTGCTCATCGTTCCGAATGTTGCCGGTTTTCAACGTTCTTCGGGTGGACAATGAGCGTCATCATAGAGAACCCAGAAAATGGATCAACTTTCCGCATCGCCGACCGCTCAAGACGCCTTGATTGATGAGTTCGCTTAATTGATGCTTACCCCACGCTTATCTGTCGGAAGGGCGGACTGATGATTGCGGCAATAAAATGGAGGAGCAACGAACAGTAGCGCGATTCCGGTAGAGTTGTTCACGTAGTCGTCTATGTCGTCGCCTCTCGCCACTCGTCAAAAAGACGGTGAGCGTTAAACGGCGATTGTGCGAACAGAAAAGTCACGGCAGAGATTCCGATTCCCATCGCCTTCTGGCCATATCGATCTCCTCCGTGGGTCGGGACGTGAATACATTCGCAGGTCCGACTGCAAAAATGAAACTCCGTAGAAAGGAAGATGCGAGCGGGACTACTCGAGGTAATGTCGCCGATCGGAAGAGATAATTTTTCTGTGATGACGGATTTTTGAAATATCTTCAAAGGCTTTCTGTGACGGACGATTTCTGATAGCTTTATGAAATTAGCCGCCCAGTAAAAAGACAAGCTTAGGCGGTCCGAGCGGACAGGTAGACATTCCACACATTCTTCTTTTGCTTCTCAATCTGAGAGACAATCGGAACTTCAGATCTTTGTTGAGGATCGTGTTTTCGCTCGAGAGTCAAAAATTAAGCTCGCACGACAGTCGGGGGACGGCTTTGTGCAGTCCCGCTAGCACCGCTCGTTCATCTGTCATTCCTCCACCAGAATCTGAAGCCTCACGGTCAGAATTCGGGATGAGGATTAGAATTGGGATCGATCCACGCGACTTCCAGATCCGGTCCGGTGGAGAGGTCTGCGGAGTTAGTAGTGGCTATAGTTCTTTGTGATAGTTCGTGAAGTTATAGATTGAGAGTGATGAATCCCGAAGTTTTCCGCGAATCACTTCAGCTCATGTGGATGATGGGAGTTGTTTCGACTTCTGACCGCGATAATGAGCCTCTCTTCCTCATGGAGAGGCCGTGGAAGAGAGGTTGTGTTCGGGCAGAAATTGAGCATCATTTAGCTCCGAAACTAGCTCGATCTGATTGAAGCGAATCGTGACTCGCGGATGTGCAGTGGTTTTCACTCATTTTCGCCTTTTCGCTCTTGTGATCTTTGGACTTTGAACAGGTGTTTGGGGGCCAAGTTGTGCGTGAGCTCGCCAGTCTTCTCGCTCACGCTCTTGGCCACTCCCTTGCTCGAATGGGAGAGAAGTGAAGAAGAACTTTTCTCTGTTACGATCTCTGACGCCGCCTAGGCCTTATTACTTCAATTCCATCGTATTCAGACATCTGATTGATGGCGTGCACTTGGACAGAAGTTCGGTCAAACCTTCGATGCATCCATTGGATGGAGATTGTTACATCGTCGACGAGGTATTCGGCGAGGTGCACTTACGCAATCTCTGACCCGCCTCTCGTCTGGAAAGACGGACATCCATTCCAAATTACAGCGTTCGTCACTCAGCCGCGATCTTCTGACAGCGTCTGATGGACTGGTCCAGCAATTCGAAAAACAGTCCGTCCGACAGTCCGTTGATTTCGGCCGCTCAGGATGGAATTCCCTGGTCGGCCTTTGTCCTCGGCTCTGTGTGCGGTTGCCCAAACCTCCTGTCCGTCCGATTGTTCGTCGTCAACATAATATGATGCGCGTCTGAGTCGCGTTCGCACTTCGGAAATATCCATCTGTGAGAGAAGGAGATTCTTATAGAAAATCCGTCGCGCGAAGACCATACTTCGACCACGACGCCGGCGGTAGCGGCGGTTGCAGCTCCACAATCGAGCCGAATCCGGGGACTCTCGCGGAAAAGAGAAAGAAAAAACGAATCTGTCGGTTAGAAAAATCGTTTGGTAACGTTCTGACCCCTGGTGGTTACGTGATCGCTTTTACGACTGGCGGCAACGCAAGGCGTCAGTCAGTCATTCAGCTAGGCAGTATCGCCGGCGGTATCTCTGTGCTGGGCGCGTCCGAGTGTGGGACGTCAAAGCTCCAGCGGGAGCAGCAACACCACCGCCGCCGCAGAAAAGCACAGAAAAGAAGATCGAAGCACACCGAATCGCCGACACCAACGATTGGCTTTAGGGCCGTCGCTAGAATCAGATGGAACGAACTTATCTCCACCGGATTGGATGCCTGCTGCGGCTCGGCTAAGGTTTTGAGCACGCCAGGGATCCGGTCGTAGCCTCTACGTGGGCGGCGGCGAATCGGGAGCTTTCTAACAGTAGCGGTTTTTGCGCTTTGCAATTAAGCCGTCGTCGGCGGAACCGTCGGTTGCGCTTAGCGAGTAACGATTAGCGGATGAGGCGGTGGTCGAGGGCGTGAGTCGAGCGTTCGCGACGAAGGAGAAGGCGACAAGAGGAAAAAGCGCTCCCGTCCGCTCTGACAACTGATACCGCGTGTCGCTTCGTCAACGAGTACTTATGGAGCAGCGAATACCGGAACTGCTTCGCGGGGCGATTTCGTGGAAGTTCAGCTTAAGGATTTTCGCTTTCTGTAATTGTAGTTACGTATCGACCCATTGATGCTCCACGAGTGATTGGCGTCGGAAGTTCCGTCCCGTGCCCTGAGAAATCTTAGCTCCGCTCGTTTTGCCTCGGGGAGCCGTGGTATGCCTCAATTTATTTTCGTGTTCTTTTTGCTATGGGCTTGGAAACCTGTCAGACGGCATTCCAAGGTGACTGTAGAAGCACGCGTAGTACATCGGTATTCGAACATAGTAACTAAGCACAGAGTCTTATATTGGGCGGATTTTACTATGTCCCCGACGCTGCTGTCCGAGTATAACAGCCGATCGTTATGAATTTTACAACGCATGACAAGGAACAAGCGCTACATGCGCTTGATTCGTCGCCGACGTCATCGCAGCGTGCACGCTTTTGTCGACGACGGATGTCTGCGAGAAAAGGAGCATCTGCGCAACTTTATAGCGCTGAACAGCTAATCCCACCACATTGCCGCAATTCGAGCGTGATATTGTCGACATTGTTTCGATTCTTGTCAATGGACCTTCCCCCGAGGAGCCCGGGTTCGCTGACTCCCTCACCGGTGGACCCGCGAGCGTTTTCCTCTCTCGAGGGAATCATCAGCTCGACTCCATTGCTCAGTATTAGGACACGCATATTCCATACAGATAAATTGATAGTGATATGAAAATGAACACAGATGTACTTATGTGTGGACATCTAGATGGCTACAGAAGTTCGTGCCTCATTATCGGGTTCGCTCCCGACAGAAACGTCCAACAATACGTCCGTTCGCCCAGTCATCTGTCTGGAATCCATGCACGAATCTGTGAGCTTGGGAATAATTGCCCGCATTCGGCTTAAGCAGGAAGAGCGGCAGCGAACGAATCATCTTCAGGAGAAGTGCCCAATGAAGCTTGATTACGAGAAGCGAATTTGAGACATTCCCTTCGAACACTTCCTCATGGCTTCGGCCACCCCGTTCTGGATGTGGTCAACTACTGTACAATGTCCACTCGGGATCACGAATCTGGAGCGACACATAATACGACGAGCGCCAGCCGAATAGCTATCCGACGACACGACGAGTAACGACTACCGGTCGCCTATTAGTCGTCGAATGCAAATAATGGGAGAATTATTCTGTCGACAGCTGATACTATTGTGTGCAGATTGCGACGAAGCAATGGGAAAAACGTGTCATATATTCGGCGGGCTCCAAAGCAACGAGGTTACAGTCGTTGTGATCCGGAAGCAGAATCATTTCCCATGTGGATCCAACTCCTCAGAACACGCGGCGGAAAATGTGCATGGAAGCGAAACATATCAAGTACCCGTGGTCGTCGGACACCGATACTAGCTCTCCGGTTCAGAAGATCACAAAAATGTTGTCGTGAATTCCGCTACGGAATGCGGACCAGAGAGGAAAGAATCGATACATATCTATGATGCGTCGTTGAAATCGAGAACATGGGGTGTGAAACCGGAAATCGAAGTAGACCGGGGGTGCAGGAGCATCTTTCCCTGAATGGCCCGAAGAGAAGTCTGACCATGGTTTCCAGAAAGACTAACCCACCGCCGGGATTGAACAACCGACACTCCACGCGAGAGATCTTCAGTATTGACGGGAGTCTGTATCTGATTGAGTTGTCGCCCCTACCCCAAAGTCATCCCTCGATGATCATCATTATAAGAATCATGATTAGAGCTCGGAAGTTCAGGCATTTCGCCATAAATGCTTTGGCCGCTTTTTTCGACGCTTCCATAGAGAACACCTACTTAGGTTTTTCCGCGCCCAGAGTGCCTATCTGAGTCACCGAGACGCTGGATTCCGGGAGTTCTGGGGAAATTTAGGGTCTACCAACGGATTCGGCGATGAATAGGGTCGGCATACCCATGCTCTAGGAACACCTCTTGCTTCCGATAGAATCCGATGGTTCGCCTTGAGGTCAATTTTTTTTCGATGATTTGAAATACTTCCTATCAGACCGGCCTCGATTACTAACCGATCGACTCCGGAAGACCACGTTAATCTCTCATCAAGCGGCACTGACGAATGACGAACGGTTCGATGCGGCTTTTGTTCTGCCTATCAAGCCTGTTTTCCTAGCTTTGATCGCTAATCTAAGGTATTTCTGTGCCTTTTCGCCTGCTATTTCCGGCGTTTTTCAGCGCCAGAACTTCCCAGCTCTCGGAATGATCGTCGTTTCGCGTCCCTCTCAAGCAGGCAGAGAAAGAATATTCACAGAAAGTTCCCTTTCTTTTCAGGCTCGCAGTCCGGTTTGGTACCTCCGAAAAGTGGACTTATCCCACCCTCTTCGAGATCGTCGAGGGCTCCCTCGCCCTCGCTAAGCAATCAGAGCGTTGCAAAAGGAATCCCCAGCTTCAGCTCGAAACGGTAAGCCAGCATTCGGTTTCGACATACGAGGGGAAAAGAGGGCCGGCGAATCGCGAACGTTCCGACAAGCGGTGGATTCAGACTCGATTCCGGACCGTCCCTATGGATTGACCGGTGTTTGTGCCCGCCAAGCAAAATATCCCGCCTCCATCACGACTGACAATCAAATTTCACCTTGAGTCTTGTGTAGTACGATTGGTCGATCTAGTCTTCTGTTATGGCTTTCGCCACAAGTAGGTACAGCTGTCGCAGAGACAACGAAGGGTCGTGTCGCTGTGCGCTGTGACCCTTAGTCGACGTTGAGCAATCGACCATCACGCGTCGAGCGGCTAACAATTGTTTCCGCAGATGTATCGCGGGAAATGCATCGCCTTTGGGATAAATCGGGGAATCTCGGAGCCTTGTTAGCGCGCGTGTTGAGGTTTGGGAGAGAGAAGTCGATTCTCTGAATCCAGCGGGTTCGTAGCCACTTGCGCGCGCTCTGACGGCAACTGCTCTCATTTCTTGATACACTTCAATCAACGGGAAATTCACGAGAGGATTCGGGAGGTACCAGAAAAAAATCTGCCAAATTGACTGCGACGAGCTCGGCAGCTATAGTCTTAGCTTCTCATCGAGAACTCAAGTCAAGGGCGCTTCAGATGAGACACGGTTTCACCGTGAGACGAGCGTGGAAAAAAATATCACGTCCGAATCGAGCACTTGACAATTATCCGAGCTCGCTTTCATTCGATGAGGGAGCGACTGTCGTCAAGTAATCCATGATTTGATCAAATTGTGCGAGAAGAATTCGAGGACGAATTTCCTGATCAGAGGAGGACGCTGACGTCTCAGCGAGAAGTTATCGGAATCCTAGTCCCCTGTCAAATTGGAGCGTAGCGCCATCCGACATTTTCCCAAAAATTCTCGCCACGTCTTTGACGTCTGCGCTGTCGATCGCGATTGAGAATTCACTTCCAGGTGCGTCAAATTACTCTGTGAATACGACTCGGAATCAGCCACAAGGCTCACTCCGACGTACGGCCTTTGACCGCGATTCCTCTTCGCGACGAATAATTCTACTTTCAACGACTATCGACGCTCGATCGCGTGAAGAATAGTCCCTGGTGCTTCCCTGTGCGCGTTTCGGCTCGCGTGCGGACTTCCCTGTGGGCCGATGCCAGGGCAGAGGGGACGGAAAATAGCTATAGCGCGTCGAAGAGCTCTCGCTGATTTCACCCACGCTCCCGGGAGGCTGTATTTAGAGTACCGATATTGGTGAATAACTTTTGGAGCTCGTCCTTCCCATGTTCAGCGGAAGGCTTGGAGCAAGTATCGGAAGACACTATGCGGCTCCCAAGGCTAGCTCGAGTCTCGAACCTGCATTAATTCACGCCTCGCAGGAGGAAAGTCAACACAGAGGATACGGACACTAAACTCATTGTCTCCATTTCCCGACACAGACCATCCAGCCTCGCGGGGTCGACGCAATCTCTTCCACAAGCTGTAAAATCCATTCAAAAACCCTCTACCGGGATCCCAAGAGCACCCAGCACTCAGCAGGTGAATCAAATCCCGAAAGAAATTCCTAAACCGCTTCAGAAGAAGAACGAACCTGTGAAACAACTCAAAGGTATCCCGTTCATGCTGATATATGACTAAATTACGATATCGCAGATTCTCGTCGAATGGATTCTGATACTCCGTCAATCGTTTGGAGGCTCTTCGAATGTTCGAGATCGAGAAGGCTCGGAAAGAATTCTGACAACTCACACTATTCTGGTCCTTTCCAGCCCCTACTTCTCTGGGAGTGCAGAAGCCTCAAATCGCGCAGGTGACGAAACTCGAACCCACTCCTCCGATTCGGAATTCCTCGAGCCTACCGAGTCGCAAGCCGGTTCCAAATAAAATCGTCCCTCCTGCTTCTTCTCCGGCCAACAGCACAACAAATTCTCAGCCAGAACCCGCCAACCCAAGTCCTCTCAGGTGAGCTGCGCCAGGGTGCCACGTGGATAGACACCAGCGAGACCGAGACTCGGGAAGCTCTCGGTCCGGATGCAGGAAACCCCGCGCAGATGAATTCTGGCGGCCGACGATCCTCTGCTCTTGCAGACTCCTCAATCTGATTCCCGATCTCTATCCCTTCCCCCGATTTTTTTTTTGGAGAGGGAAAATGCGTTCACGCAGACTCACGGTTGAGTACTGTGGGGTCGTCCTCGCAGACACTACCCACTAAAACCTCTCATGTGTGTGTATCCGCATCCGTCGCCGTTATCACTAGTTTCCGTCAGCCCCTTCTCCCGATGGAGGAACTTGATATTCCCCCTGATTTTTCGTTTCGTCGACTGATTACGGAACTGTCCTTTCTCGTGCCCCTTCCAGACCTCAGACTGAAACTTTGAATGCAGCGAATACGTCAGGTCTTCCTCTGTCGGGACTTCGACCTCCATCAGGTCATTTCGGGAGACCGAGGCCGTCGAGACCGAGCTCGGTGATCTCAAACTCCTCGGACCAAGCCAGCTCCAGGAGGAATAGCCGCCTTCTCCAACTTTCGACTCCTCCACTCGTGCCGGAGTCTGCACCGCCCTTACCTCCGAAAGAGGCAGAACTTTCTCTTCCGCCGCCGAGACCCAAAGAACGTCGCGAAGAACGGAGCGAACTCCTTTCAGAAGAGCTTCCGCCAGCGGGTCTGAACGACATATCGCCAGACGACTGCTGTTCTTCGCCCATCGCGGACGACAGCGGGATCTCATACGAAACTTCACCAAAACAGAGTCCGGACCTCCAGCAACGACTATCCGATAGTTCCTTAGACACTTCTAGAGAAAGTCATCTTTCCGAAGAAAACCCCACCGTCGTTGAAGTCGTCGACGGGGAGGACGAGGCGCAGCCTATCGATGACGCTGACGTTGACGTCACCGTCGAGCAGGAGCACGAACATGAAAATCACAAAGTTCTCACGGAGGACAAATTCAAAGTTCGCGAGCCCCTCTTAGAAGTAAGTATCAGTCTCCGCGATCGAGGAGAAATCGCGAGACTTCATGAGAGAATGTCGTGTCCTGCCCGGAATCATTTTCAATTTTATCTCCAGTTCCCTATCGACCTGAGTCGAGCACTCGGGGTGAGATACTTCGAGCTCAATGATATAATTTTTCAGATAAAATCTTTGACTCTGCCGAAACCGACAGCAGCCGTAAAAGGCACACAGCAGCTCCCGTTCAACCTCTCGGCCGACGTTGAGGTCCAGGAGCGCAACACGCTGCCACGCTGTGGATCCACAATGCACAAAGTGGCCATGGTGTCACCGATGGTGAACAATCATAACTCACAGAGCAACCAGAAGCATTCACTCGAAGAGCTCAAAGCCGAACACCGAAAAGAGGAAGAGGAGGAAATGGATTCAATCAGTCCCATGCAACCACTGCAGCCCCGTAACGCACCGTACGGGAGTTACCTGCGCACGAACCAAGGAAGCAGCAGATTTATACCAGGTGGAAAGTACCACGTCCCGTCGCTGCGGCTGCAGGCCGATCCTTCGCGAGTGGCGTTTGCGAGACACCTAATGGCGGCCTCTCAGGACATGGTCAGACTCAAATATCCCCACGTACAAGAACAGGAACAGGGTGGCTACATGTCGGACGGCGATGTCCTGCGTCCTGTTCGTGGCGGCGCTTTGGGTCTGGAGGAAATCCCGAGTGGCTACCTGAGCGAGGGCGGAGCGAGTCTGTATAGGAGGCGTCAGGACGTTTCGCATCCGTCGCCGGCTCCCCCGCCAAACGCAAAGCACCCGCAAGGCGTGAACAGCCCCCACAAAAAAATGAATCCGAAACTTATCAACGTCCTATGTGATGACAGGTGAGTTTAGAAGGAGGAGTCTCAAGTCAATGTCGAGTTATTCCCCAGAGTTCCTTTCCTCTAGCTTTTCCCCGATTTCGTTCCCGATTTTATAGAGTCCTTTTTTTCTGTTCCCGTTCAGTTTGAAGATCCCTCCCGTAAATACCACGGTTCTCCGACACCCGAGACTCAAAGCGTGAGTATTCGAAGTCCAGCTACTGTACGCACAATCCTAGGGGGTACGACTTCCACCAGATTACGATCGTTATCGAAACGATCTAAGCCTTCATCTTCTCTGACGAGTAATCAAGACTCACCCTGCGACTTTAGAGAGCCTCGAAATTATCTTGATGGTCCCACCATTGAAATAGTTGTCATTAGGTTGAATCTATTAGCTCGAATCGTCGCCAACTCGGTCACCCTTAGCTCATCTCATCCCGCTTTACGGGACTACCACCGAAAGGGTTTCCTATCGGGATGCCCGCAACTCCTCGAGCCGCGTCAGTTTATGCGTGATTCCGTGATTCCGAATCCCGTGGGGGCTGAACAATGCTTCCGACCTTGTCGGACGTGGGGATCTCGGAGAATCATGCTCGACGGCGTCAAAGGCTCAGCGATAACCAAGCTATGGCTCTGAATCCTTGCTTATCGCGGTGCTTATCAGGATAAATGAGCGCTGCTTTCAAATGGCATCAAACTGTCGACTACGAACGTGACTCCGACTTAACGCGAAGCGTCCTCTCGCCTAACGAGACAACGCTCGTCCCGTCGTAGGTTAGGTCGGCTGAGCGCTCCAGCTGGTAAGCCAGAACGGTTCATCCAGGCGGGATAATCCTCGCAGCTTCACAACGCCGCGAGTTTACTGTCCGGCTGGTTTTCAACCGGAATGCAATCGGCCGACGACTCTCTGCAATCCGCGCTTCCGGGATCTCGTGCCGTCAGGGTTCCTCGCGGAGGGTCAGAACATTAAATTGAAAGCGCTCTCCCTCGAGGCTCGGGAGCCGAGTATCCCGACCGCTGAATCTCCGTTTCGGAGAGCATGACTTTGATGAAGCTCCCAGGGAGGGAAATGTCCCATGGATAAATTTCTGACTAAGTCCTGCCGGTCTTCCGGCTGCCGAGAGAATTTTGATTTCATCTACGGAAAGTCAAAACTAAACTCGATCCACGCCGATGGATTCCGAGCAGAACACGCCAAACTATTGGCTTTTTTGAGTCATCTTCGTGTAGCCCACAAACATTATTGAAGTAGACGGGTGATCCAGGCCCTACAGCCAGGCCCCTCGTTCGCTCGATCCAAGCCGAACTAATATCCAACAGCTCTCGCTCGCTGACACCCTCCCGAGTCCGATCCACCTCACGATCCACCGCCTTTCGCAGAGTAATATGGGTCTGTACTTGAACGCTAGGGTGGCGATCTGTCTCTGTCTCCGGGAACCCCTCGGGCCATATATGTATGTACCAGAAACAAATTGTCAAATGGCCGGCATTTTCTCGAGGCGGTCCGTCTTCCAATGATCATTGCCGGGGCCTACCGTAGGCGATCCTCCCCTTCTTCTCGGATCTGTACACTCGCTGATCCCGAACCGACGACTATAAGTAAGGATTAGATCGGCGATCGCAGTCGAGACTCACTCTCAGATACTCACTCCGATCCCTACCTGAGCCCCTAGGCACTCATGACTCTCTCCCTCTATCGCTACCCTCTCTGTTTCGCGAGTCCCCACGCGCCAAGCTCCCATAGACAGAGTCTGTGGTCCCCCAACGAAGCTCAGATGCGGTACCAGCTGACCCTCGTTCATCGACTGAATGAACGATTCAAAGTCGACAAGCGAGGTTGAAGTGAAAATGTGAACTCCTGAGCGAAGGTGCTCTGGAAACAAAAGTGACTGTGCCCGTTCGAATCATGGACCGTCGGGCGTTCACCATAGCCCCGCGTCGAATCTCGATATATGCCGGTCCGCAGGAAAGACTTTATCATCACAAACGGAGACTTCTGAGTCGCTCCGCCGGGACTGTTTCTGACATCCTGAGCAGAAGGTTTGTTCCTGAAGAGTGAAGTCTTCATTCGGCAAAGTAGAGCTATTTTCTCGAGGGGAGAATGAGGCGCTATACAATTGGCTCAGCGAATCGAATGCTGCTGCCAGCACTCATTGAAGCTCGGAGAGCGACGCCGATCGTAAGCACATTCGACTTACGAAGTTTCTAAGGGGGCAATGGGGGATCCTTCTCGGCTCCCGGGTCGTTTCCCCATAGTTACGTTCTCTCGTAGAATTGTGTCCTTCCTTCTCGTAGAAAAATCTCTCGTCAACGAGATGCACCGACAAAAATCCGAGTCATTTGCGTATTCGTTATTTTCCCCGATACCTCGAAGGGACGGAATCCGGAGTCCGTGATTTCCTATGCGATTCCATGGAAAATCGCAGAGTAACCTTCACTTGGATTTCCTGATCTAGGGGAAGGTTCCGATCACTTTTAAGTCCAAGGACCTAAACTTTTCCGGGCTGATCCACACAGCCAAGGTTTAGCGTCCCGGGTACTGTTATTCACATTGCTTCCGAGGACGGATTCATAGAGCAAATGTACTCAGGAGGATCAAGGCCGAGTACCTGCATATTTAATATGTTAAGTCCAAGGACCTAACAGACCGAAACCCTCCGACTCACACTATCAAAGAAGGGACCGATATCAGGATTCAGAAACCCGTGCTATATGCATCGACTGCTGTCGCCATCCTTCATTCTTTTGATTGGAACCACGGTCTCGGAACGGTTCAGTGCCATGAGGAAACTGCGAAGCGCTGTGCGGGAGGGAGTTGACGTTTGAGATATAGGACAATCGGTCGATGACGCCAAAAATCAATATTATGGAGAGGAATCTTCGCCGTGAGGTTGCTCGGGCTACGCTCCGCGAATGCTAAGCACGGTGTGTCAAGCATCGTCTCGACATGATCCCTCGCTTTTTTTAGCGCCCGGAGCTTAAACACCCGATTTCCTCCCTTCGTCAATCAATTTTCTTCTTCCTAAGATACCGTCCTCGAGATTATTCCTTTTACTCAGCCAAAATCCTCGTTGCCTCGCTGGAACCCTGGCGCGTTCACCGACGACGCCAGCAACCCCTTCTGAACTCTGAAATCAGCTAATCATCGCAGAAACTCCATGATTATGCCGTCGGATAGGGATATCGCGAAAAGGCGTCTCCGAATTTCCATGCATGCGGAGACGAGTTGACCACGCTCTCGTATTGAGCCGTATACAGGAATGAGTTTGATCTAGTTTGCCTCACTGTTCGCTCTCCTTGCCGACCCGGTGGTCCATTGTGTAATCACGGCACTCGAAGCTTATCGATATGTGCCCGACGCAGGAGAAGGAGGTGTCTGCCGGGCCACTTTGCTCAGCGGCATGGGAGCGTGGGTTCCGCTGATGAGTCACGTCAGGAAAGGCCCCAGCTGCACTGCCATTGGAACTCGATTCCGATTCCACCATAACGACGATATCCATACCGCGCAGCTGAATCTGGCTGTGCTCGTCCGAGGAGCGGTTCTGGTCTCCCGTGGATTTTCGTTATGTCCAGGAAGCCATGCGAATATCACCCGCATTTTTGGTGCCACTGTTTCCCTTTGCAGTTCCAGCTTTTCGTGTCTCGTTTCGTAGTTTCCCGGACCGATGGGAGTTTTTCACAACCGGCGCTCATACGGGCGGAAGAGTCACCCAGGCGAGAGTAACATCTCTCATAACTGAGTGAGGGGCATCTCTCCGGGGCGAATCCAAGTTTTCAGAGGTAGAACCGGAAACGGATGCAACCGGTGATCCGCTGGTCAGATCCGGTCATTATACCCTCGAAAAACTTTGTCGCCAGCCGGGGAGGTTTCCACCAATCGTTTTTTTTGAACGGGGCATATCGCGACTCGAAGCGGACTGGCTCTTCCTCAGTGAGGTGGGCTCACATCTAGATACTCAGCTTGGGCGTTTTGGGAGTGGAAGCAAAATATGGATACGTGAGATATTCTCCGAGTCGAGAAAAACGCTGTCGTACTTATCCCGGAAGTCGGAATCGAGATTTGTAGAGCTCGGCGAGAACCTTCGGAAATATCGCTTGTATGTCCGGGAGCGTTGAACTGCCTTCGTGTAACGTCCCATAGACGTCCCGATGCGGAAGACTAGCAATTCACTGGAGCCTTGTCATTTTTCCTTCGTTCCTCCTCCCACTTTCTCCGACGTCCTCGTCTTCTTTCCTGTAGCCGATCAGTCAACCAAGTGGATCTCGTCCCAAAGCTACACGCACGGGTCGCTCTGACCATGTATCTAGCCTTCTTATCATGAAAAACTGGGAACGTATCGATAACATTGTTAGCCTGCCCCGGTCCTCCTATCGGAGCCGCAAATAAAGATTGCGAGATATCTTGCGGTCCTTGTTATCCGTACATGGCGGTCGGTCCGGGCTGGGGATAATCTGATACAGAGGAACACAGGTTGACGCATCAGGAAGTGTCCTGCATTGCATCCGCTCTCGATGGAGTGAGACAGAGCTATGAATTTATGTATGCAATATGATTTCCTGGTTCACGTCACAGGGGTACACGCTTGTTACCTCACTCATGGAGCAAATAACCCCCGAGTAGACTCGTCCGGAGTCTGAGAAGAGCGAATTCTTTCCCGGGACATGTAGCTTGATTGTGCTTGGCCAGTCTTCACGAAATTCCTGCGACGCAGGAAATTATTGTCTCGACCTTGCTGCCAGACTTCCCCGAGGTCCGTACTAGATGCCACGATCGAATTTTTGAGGTGGGGTGTTCCTGGACCCTATTCAGAGTTGAGGCCTCGAAACCGGTCGGACGGGCGGTCAGTCACTCATGCCGCGATTACGAGTGGGTTTAGCGGTGGAGATTAATTTAGAGAGTACCTGCCTAAAGCTCGCTCTCACGCTCCGACAAGTACGTGCTCAAGCGTCCACGCGATGAGTTTCTCTAACGCGAGGCGAATACACCCCGCAGACAGTGCGACGAGAGGACTCTCGCTTCATAAGTGGCCGAATTCGCGCTGTACAATCTATTTGTGCTCGTGTTTTCGTTCAATGCTCCGGCGCAATCGTGCTCATTGAAAGATCAGAGCCGAGCTCGTTCGGAGCTCACGGGGCACCACACTTTACCGGGGACGGCGCTAGAGCGATGGACAATTCGGGGAATAGAAGAACTTCGAAAACCTCGGATGGGACGGGATAACCACTTCCACGGTCCTTCGACGGAGCGAAATTCTCCAATTCGCGTCGGGCTCTCGCACGGTGGACATTGCCAATGGAAAAGGGTTGGAGGTTGGAGCAATAAAACCTAGCCCCCTACGAGTCGCTGACCGGGCCGAAAGGCTCCAGTAGGCACGACCGGGAGAGACTGCTCGGTCGCGTCTCTCTGCCATCGTATCCTGTCCGTGGTAAATCTACCATTTGCCCGGCTGGTCGGATAGTCAGTCAGTCTGTTGCCCGGTCCCTCAGTCAGTGGGCCTGTCAGTCAGACGGGCCAGTTGGCCGGCTGAGGTCCTATACGAATGTCAAGACATGCACACTTCATTAAGTATGACTGTCGTTTTTTCAGCTTGGACGACAGCAGCTCAGTATCGTCCGGTCTCTCTGATACCTTCAATGAGATTTCGGCTAACGATGGCTTGACCGATTCCTCGCTGAGCTCGGATCCTTACGGGGTGCTCAAACGTCATGGCGTGCACTCGCTGCAGGCGGCCCACAGCGGCAGTCGGAACGTTCAGCAGACACTGGTCAAGAAGTAAGTCGAGAGTCTCTAAGTATTGTGCCTTTCGCGGAGTCGTGCTTTTGACAGCGATCCACAGTGCCTAGTGGAATCTCCCAAGGTTCCCATAGCATCGTATGGAACGGAGGCAGGGTGTCCAGCCGAGAAATTGTCGGGGACAGCAGTGAGGAACCACAACAGCCTATTCCATCAATGGAGAGGACGTGGGCTCGGAGGAATTTTAGTGCCACGAAATAATAATTTCTTGAGCTTCAACCAAGACTGCTTCCAAGAAATTACTAAAGACTGCAAGATATTCTACGGTCTGCAAGAGAGCCGCCCGCAGAATATCTGTGGCGACACCGTCTCCGGGGCTTGCATTTCGAGAACGTTTGTACACTCCAGAATTTCGCCATGCCACGCGTTCGGACTCTCCGGAAGTAATGATAACTGACACCAGCCTGGCGATAAGGGATGAGCTCGAATTGCTTTTTGGATTACCCAATTCCCTTTACAGGACGAAGGAGGTACCAGCGTCAAGCGGCAGTGATCTTAGAGATAGCAAGAAAGACAGCAACAAGGACAAGGATGCAAACGCGAAGAAAGACAAACTTAAGAAGAAGGAGGCTAAGGCTAAATCGAAAATGATGATCATGATTCGCAACGGGGTTTCCTCGAACGACGTCAAGCTCTACGGAACTGTAGACCCACCGGAAGCGATCTTGGAAGCAGCGAAGCATGAAACTGCAATGAATCAGGTACGTGGGCTAGAATGTCGAATAAACTTCTCTCGTCCAGAAACTCTGGGGTGTTTGGTCCCGGTCGACTCTCGAATTATAGCGCCTACAACAGAGGAAGATACTCCATTGCCAGAAATGGAATGCCATGCGATAGCTGAAAGGAACGACAAGCGCAGGCGCATCAGACCATCCCACAAGGGGAGGGTGTAGAGAGGGGAGCCAGGTTTTGCAAAAGTTGTCTGGCTCGGCGCCCGAGCCGCAGCTGGTCGCGTGCTATGCGAACAAATTACGTCTTTGTCTGGTCTTCGATACCAGATCTTTTGATAGAAACCAGTCGTGAATGTCTAATGGAATTCGAGTAGCGAAAGAATTCGAAAATAGTAATTGCTCATGAGGCCAAACTCATCTATGATAAAAGTCTCACATTCGATTAACTGTAGAGTCTCTGATACTCTCGATTTCCTCATATCGGGAGCAGACCAAGGCTCTCCAGAGCTGACACTCCAGACAGCCATCGAGCCGGGAGATTCATTACGTCCGCTGTAATCATCGAATCAGCAGCTTTCGTGTCTCCCTCCCGGCTGGCCCTGACGCAGACTCCCCAGATTTTGAAGACCAGCTTCAGCGGGAAATGAAGGTCCGGAGGGGTCGACAAGCTCAGCGTGGCCTCCCTCCTTGAGGAAGGAAGGATCATGTGTTGAGTTTCGCAGGATTGGTCCGGACGAACGCGGCTCGGGAACGATGCTCCGATTACTGGGAGGACTGTCATACACAATCATCGATCAATCATGATAAGATGATGATGTTACACAGTTTATTCGTAGCATTGTAAATTGTGATTTGATCGCATTTGGAGCTCAAACCTTCGAAATCGAAAATCCATCGGTCCCAGTCGGTCCTAATGAAGATCCTTGCTCGATTCCAGATGGAACAATCGACCGCAATGACGGCTTCGTTGAAATCGAGGCCCGATTCCGTCGCAAGCGTAGCTTCTCTGAACTCCACAAAAAGCGCCCCGGTCAAACCCCCCGTGGACGCTGACTGTAAGTCATTTTCCGGCTGACCGTTCGAATCAGTTGATCGACGGCATCGCTGTATCATTCATTACGGGCCTTAAAAAAATATATGATGGGAGCTGATTAGATGACTTCCTTCCTGTCGCGCTGTCCATCACTGCTTGCTAACGAAAATGTTTCACCCAGGGTCGCCGTACAAAAGACGAGTCAGCGGTCCAGAGGATGGCTACGCAACATTGGAGGGCATTCAGAAGGCGTATCTGCATCAGCAGGAGATGCACTGGCAAATGCCGCTCGGTCCCGCCCACCCTTCAATCCATCCCCCGAGAAGCAACAAGAGTCTTCTTCATGAGGCTGAGTCCATGGAAAGTCTCTTGAGTGCCCACTCGCAGCAGCAGGCTCAGAGCCAGGTGAAATATTTTTTGCGATGCCGATTGAGCATAGTCCATGGCGCAAGAATGACAGACTTAGAACTTGCCAGATCTCATTTGTCGATTGATATTCGCTCCTGAAGCCTCAGGGTAGACCAAGGAGGTGGATAAGAGATGGTTTTTTTGGGTTATCTGCCTTGCCAGTGGCATCAAAAGCGCATGGAACCGATCCGTACGGCGGCAGTCGATCGGTGGCGGTTCTGCGGGAGATCGCAAAAATCAATTTTCGCAAGGCCCAGTCGCGAAAGAATCGCTGGATGATGGGAAGACATTTTGATTGGCTTCTCGGTTGCTCCACGCGAACATACGAGACATCGACTCTTTCTCACAACCTGGTTGATTAATCATTGATCATGAATAAGATTATCCCGAGGATCGGTATGCGTGATTTGCAGATATGAATGTGTTATAGGTTCGCGATTGATTTGTGCATGAATGTGATGCTATGAGTTTGGAGTCGCTGATCTCTGAACTTTACCATAGACGTAGACGCTGCCGCGGCGACCGCCGCGTCAGCCAGGATCGCGATCTTAATTTTCCTAGCATGAACCCTAATGTTTCCTCAGAATGTCGGCCCCCGGACCCCTCGGCCAAACTACTTTGGCCATCCGTGCTACTCTCCCCCTACGACTCCCCAAAGATCCTCATCCGCTTTATCGAACCACTCGAACCATAGGCTGGTCGGTTCGTCGCTACCTTCGTCCCCGCAACCGGCTTATGCTTCATATTCTCTGCGAATGAATCGCGCTGAACGGAGGTCCGCCCAGGAGTTTGCAAGCAAGACACTACCTCACAACAGCGTCAACTCTCGTCATAGTCAGGTACTGCGAAGGCGCGGATCCGAATCGCGTCGCGTCGTCGATGCGGACCGCGAAGGGTTTGCGTCGACTCTCGTTGTTGTTATTTTTTGTTTTTTTCGCATATTCGAGGATGACCGGGAGACGGTGGCACAGAAAATCATTCGAATCTCACGGCGTATGCGGCGAATGCTAGATCTTTGCGAAGATTACCCGTTTGACTCAATCTGCCCCAGGAGAGCATCGAAGAACGACTCGTGATAATCTCGTCTCCTTCAAACAAATACCGATGAATGGCCGTCAAATGCTTGACAGTTCCAATCAGCGGGAAGCTCATCAGTCAAAAGTCTGAATGGCTTCCAGTGAATTCTCACGCAACTCCGGAATGTTGGAATTCCTCTGATGCTCTTGCTTAGTCTCGCGAAAAATCGAGAGAAATTGACTCACAAACGGACTGACTGCTTCCGCACTCCATTCTTTGAAATTGAATTCAAAGGTTCGAAGGTGTCTCGGTGGGCGGTTAAGCTTCCTCCAAAAACTCATTGATAATATTGGTTCTCACCGGTTCTGGCAAGTACCTACTCACCAGCAGCTCTGTGCATGACCTCCACCCATGAATTGCTCGATAGCCTCTCTATACCTCAGCGCTACCCGGGTTGAGTGAGTCGCCTCCCCTGAACCCGGAGGAGAACAATCTTGACTATTGTCCATACTGCATTTCTCACCTTACATCTTCCCCGCATCAATAGAGCTTTCCCATAAATAATTGGGGGGACATTTGAGCGTAGAAGGGACTACTGGCGAACATTTTCGATGTACCTACCTATATGTACCTGAAGATGGAATCACTCTCCTCGATGGGAAAAGTGTCACCGATCGGGATTTCATTGAGGCAGAAATGTATGTGGAGGAGCTCATTATTCCGTATATTCTAGGGAAGTTCCCGTTTCTTGTACGGATCTCCGGGTTTGAACCATGTAACTCCACCGAGAGGGATGCGATTCGCCAGAGAAGATGAAGGTGAGTAAGCGCTACTCTTCTCGATTCCTGCGACGTCGGTTGTGCAGCATATACCCTACGTCCTCACAGAGCTCCAGAGGTTTGGGGTTCTCATGCCGGGACGTGGTCTCAACCGAATTGTTTCAATACTTCCAGCCGGATTGGGCTCCACTCTATCGCTGGTGTCAACGACGTCATCTATGTACTCCACACCTGAAGAGAAGAAGGCGCACGAAATCCGTCGACTTCGCAAAGAGCTCGACCACTCGAACGACAAGGTTGTAACACTAACCGCACAGCTGACCACCAACGTGAGTACCCTTCTTCTCGGCTTCATTGCAGCAAGCTTCCCAGAGAAAAGCTTCTGGATCAGGGAGCCGAATACCTCGAAGAATGCTACAGTAGAATTGTCAAAACCAAATCCGGTTGTTCAGCCACGGAGCACGATCCCAGCGTCACGTACAAACCCATCGAAATTACGTCTCATATTCTGCTCCGTGAGACAAATCGTTCCAGATGTGCGTGTATCACAGCGATCGTCGTTCAGTCGACGACCGCTAATTGTTTTTTCATTGTTTTTATCCATTGCCCGTATAATCTGCTGCTGGACCGATGGACGGTCGAGCTCGCTTTGGCGGGAAGATCTGCCTCCGACTCCCATTTAGGGTCGTCGAAGTCACCCATCGGAATCGTTACTTTGAGTCGACGCATTCGTCTAGGCAAGGCGTTCGGAGCGCGGTCGTGAAGTCGATTGACGAACCCGTGGTGGCCTCCCGTCGCACCATTACTCCCCGACGAATCTCCGCTTTACGGTTGTTCCACGAAGAGCTCGGAGCGAGCCGCCCTTTTCCGTTGCTTTTAACCGAGCGGAATCCCGCAGCTTCGCGATGCCCACGGCTCTTTGTACAGATTGGCCCTGCCGTCGCTCGATAGCCGACGTCGCTCTGCCTTATTGAAGCTCATCCATTCTTCATCCATGAATCCACTTATTTATTCGCTCATTCCTTCAATCATAAGCCTCGGACATATCATACTCTTGTGGAGACGGTCTATTCCCCTCTTTATTGCGGCGATCGGCCGCGAGGAGTTTCGTAAGAGCCCAAGCACACGCCCTCACTCGCGCTGAAATTCGTGTCTCGCAGATGAAGACTGTTGGCAATTTCCAAGCTCTCGCTGAAATTTCAAGCGTGAGTATCGTCGAGTACCTAATGAGCGTGGCGATTTCGTCTCGATCCGTGGAAAGTGATCGAACGAGAAGTCTGCCTGGTCGATGCCGGAGCGAAAACGATGGCGCACGGTCAGTTTGTGCCAAAGAAAGAAGAAGAAACAAGCAGAACATTGCTTCTAATAATCCTCGGTCTTTTCCGATTTTCGAATTCTTTCTGCTCGCGGCTGTTTCACGGCAGGCCAAAGCCGCACAAATGGATAAGCGGAATTGAATCGCAAAGTTGATTTTTGATGATCAGGGACTGAGATGCGATGTTCGATTGCGGTTCGATGCCGAAATTGCTATGATGGCCGTCTCCATTATTCATTGATAACTCTCCTGGATTAGCATTCATTGATATTGAAGAGGAACACGGAGACGAGGGAATCACCGGGAAGATTGTCTTGTCTCGACAACTTTCTTTTTTCAACACTTTCTCGGGCGGATTTCACCAACGACGGGAGAGAAATCTATGTATATCGTCGAACTTGTCGTCGTGTCCGAAATTATTTCGATCCATCGTCGGAGTCTCTGGGAACGATCGTCTGGGTAATTACATCGATGAGGATAATGGGATCTGGTAAGGTCGCAAAAGTTCCCAGGCCTCGCGGGATGATCCGGTCCTACGTCCTTTCGGGTCGGAGTATTTATATTTCCTTCTCCGTCTATCGATTCGTCTTTGCTGCAGAATGGTATGCTCCGATCACCCAGAACTCAAGCGGTTGAGAGCTTGACCGAGCTGTGCAGAAGTTCCCGCAAGCGCGTGCAGATGGCGCGCATCCGACGCGACACTTTCACACACCCTGAGAACTAGCCTATACGAATTATCGGGCTTCTCCGGACCGCTCAGCCCTCTCAACCGGCTCGGTAGTTCCCCGACTCACTACAAAATTTACAGAAGAGTTAAGAAAGATATTTATTTTCTCGACCTCTAGCCCTCTCCAGCGATAGTCACAATCCTGTGGAACGACTCTCTGGAATGATTGTCGGAGGATCTCTGATGTTCCCGAGGAAGGAGCTTACGTTCCTCGACCCCGCTCGATTCAGTCTGATTCCCTCGATTCTTTGTACGAGCCGCGGCTGGGCAGAAGCTTGAGTCCGGTCTTAGGGATTGTTTTATTTGTTTATGGCACGACAATGTCTGAGCACACACCGATTACCTGAATGACGGCGATCATCATCATCATCGCGATGATGTTAGCTTGGCCGTGTCGCACCGTTACTCTGCCTAAGTGGCTTCAGATCGACCGACAGCTGCTGGAGCCGCTCTGTCTCAGGCGTGTGGTAAGCTACCATGCGTCACGCAACGCTCGTTCATCCGCTTGGCAGGAGCGGTGCATTGGATGTCCGCCGTACATCAGGAGTACCCAGCAAAGGCATTGGCATTTGTTCACGGAAAGTCCTTGACTCGAATCCTTCATTGATCATGAACAGAGTCGCGTCGCGTCGTGCTGATATCGTCGAATGGGCCTACACCGAATTATCGGTGTTCTAGTCAAGCGAATCTCAGTTTCCGAGGTCTGATCGACCTCGGAGACTATACGTGAGCTTTCGCGTTGAGATACGATCGCACAAAGTGTTTTCTGAATTCTGATGTAGCCTTGTCCGACACACTTCCATTCTTCGAGTCGACGTTGACGATGGCATCGGTGATTGCTTTTACAAAGATCCCACTCAATAGCCAGCCACGGCGCCTCATCTTGCATTGTGTGAGCTCTCCGAATCGGCTATCCTCCAGCACACGAAATTGTACGCCTGTATACGCTCTACGCATCGGTCCCTTCCATTGTCAGTCTTATCCGCCCGTGGTTCCGACCAGTGGAACAGTGAAAATCGTATTATCATGATTCCAATTCCCCGAGTTCGTCGTGTTCTCCCGGTGGAGACGTCGGCGTTGTTGGCGGTCATTCTCGTCCCGAGTCACAACCCTGGTATCCGATATTCTGTTTGAGGAAACATCAAACCAGCATCTTTGGCTGGGTTGTGAGAGGGGACTTTGTACAGGAGAGGGTCATCTGTCGCGACTTGGTCGTGGGTTCGTCGTCATTGCTGATCTCGTTTGGTTCCGTTTTCGCCTCCCGTTCCGATGGAAGTTCCGGCCACAAAACATCCGATGCCGTGGACGCTGGGCGAAGAGTTGAGTCATATACGCATTCCTCCAACTTCACCTTTCTCGACGTCCGCTTAGCTCCTCCGACGCGCAAGAACGAATTCCGAGCGAGCCCTCCAGAGAGAAGGGACAAAAGCCACGGTGACGACAGTAAAACCGATTCAGGAAGACGTCTCTTCAGTCGAGCCAACGGACAAACAGAGCGCTCGCCTTGTCCCTCTGGTCCTCCTCCCCCCGCCTCCGGTCGGAACCGATTGCGTCGGATGTATCGTCGCCGTCGTTGTTGTAGTCGTCGGTCGGTTGTCCGGAGAGGTTCTGGCAGTTTCAGAAATCGTTGACTGAGAGCCTCTGATGCCGAAATTCGCAGGATGTGGAGGCTTTTCCAAGAGGTGGAACGCATAGAGAAAACAACTTAATTTCTACGACCTTCTTGTTCGGAGTGCTCCATCAGAAACCGGTCGAAGGCTTCACTGGAGACACGCGACTCAAAGTTGACAAATGAAGCGACCAGCGAGAACCAGAAGCGATGATTGCGGAGGGACCGGTCTGGGTTATCCGGTGATAACTTCTCGGACAGTTCCGGCTCTGTTTCTGCGTCAGAGCAGGACTGAAATTTCTCGGTCGCTCGATTTGCAGACCATCTACTACTACCCACCTTCCGCGTACGGAAGTTTCGGGCAGCTTCAATATGACATCCATTCTTCACAATACAGTGTTCAATATTTTCGCAGCGAGAGCTTCGCTTCCCTGAGAGGCTATTGAAAAGTCTTCGATTCTCGTCAGACTTTCCCTGTTTTCTTGTTGCTCCTCTCGTCGAGAACCGCAGAATTTTCTGAACGCAACAGAGATGTTCCTGTTTCGCTTCTGACGGATCACGTGGTTTCTTGGCTCATTCGACTCGAGTTCTCAAACTGACTGATCTGGATGGTGCGCTTGTTGTTCTTATCGTCAGAGCTGTGATGTTCCTCATGCGTAGTTCGAGCATTCTGTTTGTAAAACAGCGTTGGAACCGGCCGGAATCGTCGAGGACGCGTCGGTTGGAAGAGTCGATGGAGCAAGAAGAGTAGAAAGCTAATAAAACGACGAAGAAATGAAGCGAGAAAGCAAGCACGGTGGTTTATGCAGATAAAGGAGCAGACACCCGCAATCCATGAGTGACCGGTGGGCGTTACCATCACTGCGAACCGCGACGGGGATTGGGGCATGCTTTTAACCAACAGCTGATTGAGCTAGCCCGGAAACCGCTGGAGCATTAACACCTACTTGCGGAGAAAAACAAAGATGACGGATCGTGAACTTCCCCCGGGGACCACCGTCTCCGAAACCCCGCCGGGTAAAAGGCTCCCCACGCCAGGAGAAGATTTTTGCGGTCGGACTTAAACCCGCTTCGAAGACCCGTTCTGTTCGAAAGCACCTACATACTTTCTGGCGCTTCCTTTCAACAGCTCTTCGAACTCGCTTAGCGCTTTCAAAAACGCCTATTTACGCTTCCTTCGGTCGTTTTTCGAAGTACCTACCAGAAAGTGTCGTCGAGGTGCTGAAAGTAAATATCCTACGAGTCGTCGTGAGGTCACTTTGTGGCGGAGTGACGACGGTGACGGTTCAACGGGGTTCACGAAAGCCATCAATCCGTTCGTCGTTGTACCGCTTGCTGGCATGTGGTCAAGTTATAAAATCACTTGAGACAAGAGTCACGCTTGACAGGTTGTCGAGGCATCGTGATTGTTGTTGTATCCGATGTTGTCGCCATCGTTGTTGATGGTCTCATTGTTGTCGTTGTTGATGGTGGTATCGCCGGCCGCTGAATCCCCCGACCAAAGCTATCCCTCGGGAGCAGATGGCTCGGAAGGAATTCGGAACGAATATTCAGCTGTTACAGCGGGGGTGCGATTCCATTAGGGAGATTGTTACACCTCCTACGCGATAGAGCGGGTAAGGCGACTCATACATTCGCTCTCCGTGCGCTTTTGTTTGAGGGTCACCTCTTCGCTGTTAATGTCGCCGCTTCGGATGGGGGAATGGTTAGTCCAACAAGGCTGATTAAACGGAGGTACCCCACAGACGCACTTCAACAATGAAGGACGCCGAAGCGTGTCTGTCTCGAGAGGAACAGAGCTGGGTGTGGGGTGAGGTGATGCGAGCGTGGGGATGAAGTGAAATGAGGTGCACATAGATTATCGCGTGCGCGTGAGCCATGGGAACACATTCGATAATTGAGTAACGTGAGAATGGCGGTCAGCTTCACAACTTCTGGTCGATCCATAGTGATTTCGAGAGGTCAGGAGAGAGTCTCTCGAGTCAACAAACCTCGGAGCTCGTTGAATATCGTTCATTCCCTGGGATTTCGTCGGTGGCTCCATGAACCGCTCGAATGAAGCGAGAGTGTACGCTGAGTCTCCGATTGACCTTATCGGAAGTCGATGATGAGCCTTTAGGATCCAATCCCAAAATTTCAGAGTCGTCATTCCTCGGTTCTAGGCCCCACTTGAGAGCCTTCCGACGCGACGGGGCGAAGCTCACAACGTTCGATGCGTCATTGAACAGAGCGCTGTGTTGTGATTGCCGCGCATCTCACGCTCCGAGCGGTGTCGTGAATGGGGAAAGTCACAGCGGATTAATGATAGTTATCAAAGGCTTGCCTCGCGGAGGCAGACGGACGGACGAGCAGACAAGCACAGGAATGGACGGATGATTCCGCTGATGATAAGTCCGGCTATTGTTTGCCTTGCTGAGCAAAACACCCATCGTTTCTGACTTCTTCGCTTCGGCCATCGGCTAGTGTCGGATATCCACTATTTGCCGTCCATCCGCTTCCCGTTTATCTATCCATCCTACGGTCCGATCGTTTATCCATCCGATGTCAAACCGAGACTTGTGAATCCTGTCACGTTCAAATTTCTCTCCTGCCTGCGACGAAAGCCTGAACGAATGGATGTTTTGGCAACAATTTCGGGCCAAACTCTCGGCGGGCCTTGGTACCCTTATTCAGGCAACCAAAGTAACAGATCAGAAGGGGTCACGTCCGGAGCTCTTCCGCCGAGATTCAGCTCCGAGAGCCCCAGCGAGAACTCGTCGGACGGAAAGCAAAACTCTGAAAAAGAAGGGAACCAAGGTTGACACGATCAGTGGCTTCCAATTGGTCGATCCTTTGGTTCTCCCGGCTCAGACACCTGAAACCGGATAGATTCTCTAGGAACGCTCGAAGATGTGTTTAGCACAGAATCGTCAGACGACTACTACGATGGGCGAATGGCGCTCGCCCGGAGCAGATGCTTTTCGCAGGAGCCCCTTTGGAACGATCACTTAGTCGCTGGGTCGCTCGTGGCCCATGGTGCCCGACCGACGACGGGCGAAAGACAGACTGACAGACGAACTACTTTCTCTCTGGCTTTCGGATCTCTGGCTCGTCCTTTCTTCCGTGGACAGAGCCAATTAAACGAATGGACCAAGAAGAACGACGAATACATTACTTGGATGGGACTCCGAAATCTAAATGAGAGTCCGAGACTGTCACGCTCGTTGGATTCCCGACAAGGTACAAGCGAATAGGCATCGAGATTTCTTCCGGTTATGCGATCGTCTCACCGGAACCGGCGCAGAGATCAGCAAATGACAGAGAAAACTCAGGGAATGAGCGTTTCTTCATAAATCCATGTAAGAGAATCGGCGACTGAATTCGAACATGATATAGACACGGTCACACCCGCTCGGAAGTGTCGAAAGGATCGCCGTTTTGTTGACAAGGAAATCACCCCCACCCACTGGCCTGTGTTTGCACACACGTGGTCCACTTTAGGTGACACAAATGTCCACTACGATGTCCGGAGAAGAGAGAGGGAGTGAATGAGGGTGCAAGGAACAAGAGATAGGTGGAACGTGGATGTCGTGCGAAGATGAGGCTCTTACTCCGGCCCATTTGTCCACAAAGCGACCGCCACAACGAGAAGCCGACGACATGGTGAGGGAAGCAGCCAGCGAGCCACGCTGAGTCGAACGACGTTTTGCCAGGAGTGTACGAGGGGGCCGCCGGCCAATGCCACCACCCCACCGAGCAAGCAACTCCACCCTGTGCCTAGAGCCTCACCACACCCACTGAGGGGGTGAATTATTGATACTTTTTAGCTCTCGTCGGCATTTCGGGGTCGAGCCGAGATCCCTAGGGGTCAAGGTGCCGACCTCAAAAACACGAACGACTTCTCCACGAACATCGAGCAGAGGACGGAGCGGGAGGAGAAGGCTGTCGAGAGCCAGCTTTCGGGAGAATTTCTAGTACAGCGTCGGTCATATCGTTTCTGAGGAGACTGATAATTTCAATCGAATCTATTGACGCGTTCCACTCGACGCTTAGAGACGCAGCTACAATAAACAGTTCTGGATGTTCTCAAGAGAAGGGGAGCTGCCAGAGCTTCGGTGGTGGGAATTCGGGGACAACGAGTTCTCATCGGGGACACAGGCTCACAACCACCAACCATTCAACCTACGGTCCGTTAGTCCGACCCGCCAGCCGCCTGAGCGACCCATCGATCGTCGTGATAGGGATCCCGGGCGGCTTGTCTGGAGTCCGTTGTCAGAGTTGATGTCCTCGTCGCTCATTGCGAGTTTGGACTCTCGTGGGGATTCGAAATCGGAAGCGTTGGAGGAGAGCCTCGACCTTGAGCTGGCTCCGACAGTCCGGACGTGGTCGACAAGAATCACGTTTTGTACATGTCACAACAAGTAATTGGTCATGTGCTGACGACCAACGAATTTTCATGCTCCAGAGGCTTCATACAAGCGCACAAAACACCCGAAAGCTCGAAGAGCCAATTCGGGCCGTCGGAGGGCACTGGAGCGAGTCTTCGAAGTCCACTGTGATTTTCAAAACTTTTTCCGATAGACACCGCTGTAGGTACATTCGTCCCAAATTCACAACAGGGTAAGATAGGGTATTCGGGAGCAATTTGCCTAAGACCGAACACAAAATGGAAAGCTGCATTGAGGCCAAGTTTACCTAGGAGTCTCGGATTTGATTAGCGGCGAATCTCCGAAATGGGTCTTATCGCTCCGGCTGTAGTCTCAGAGACGGCAGGGAAGTGTGAATATCCGATTGGAAGTCGTCGTTCTATAAGTCCACCGATCAACACCGATCGGAAAATTCCCGGCCTTTCATCCGCTCGAGATTCAGAGCGTTTTCCGCTGGCCTTCGCGACACAGCAGGAGCGAGAAAGAGAAGCTTCCAGCGAGCAAATTGAAGGTGAATGTTTCCCTCTTCGTCTCTCGATAATGGGCTGTGAGTTGAAAAAATTATCCGAAAATTGAGAGCTGGGCGTGATCTCTCATTCACGGATGTAAGAGAAATCGGATGCGTTGAGAGAATATATCGATAGGCCTACGGTACGTCATCGGTCCGATCCAGGACGGAACATTCAAATCAAGAAACTAATCTCTGCATCCCGTTACTCCTCCAACCATCGCCGTCGCGTGCAGAAGCACGATTCGATCAGCGATAGAGTCAGCCAGAAGCTGATTTTGGTTACCGTCAATAATAATCGCCGGTACCTGTCGGAAGACTTGTTCCTTCGAAAAATGACAAATAGCCTCACCATCTCTTGATGGTTCTTGTGTTTTTCGGTATTTTCTCTTTAATTTTCGGTTCATTTTTCTCTTCTCGGAAATTGGCTTTAAACTTTGAGGTCTGATCCGTCTACGGCGGAGGGTCGTGTAGGAAACGGCATTACGTCTCGTCGTGATGGTATCTGACTGATTTACTCAAAAGATTGGCGGCAGCCGTTGCCTGCGTCGGCTTTCTTTACGACGAGAGAAAGGCGTTTGGTGATGCTGCGAACTTTAGAGTTTAGAAAGGGTCAATAATGCTCCTTGGAAGTCCTCATCGTCTGCATGGCCACGACGCGTCGTAAAATTCTGATATCCGTGAGCAATGGTTCCAACGGTCGATGGTCATGAGGGGTATATTCTTCGATCCGTCTCTCCTGGTCCGAGAGTCTGTGTTCTTCGGGAAACGGCCATGAGGGTTTGATCAAAGGCCGTTGGAATCCTCGATCGACGAGTCGGTCTTGACTGTGATGATCGTCATGATCGCCGGCGGACGACTTCGCCGGAGCATTCTGCTCGCGTGGTTGCGCCGCTACTCGTAGAAAAGACAGACCGCGTACGGCTCCGGGCATGTGGTAATCCAAGCTACGAGCAGGCGAACGAGCGAAGAAGGAACGAACGAAAACGCCGCAGCTGGTTGACCGGGCACCAAACTGCATGGAAGCCGCTAACACAGCCGCCGCGGCCGGATCCTCCTCGCCCGCTGGGAGAGGGAAAGGCATGACTTGAGTTCGTATGCTGCCTTGCTGACTGCGAGCGGCGTCTTCGACAACAGACGACGAAACTCGTGAGCACATGAAACGTCGCTGTTCGTCGATCGAGAGAAGCTATGGAGTCGCTGTCTGAGTGCGGTGTGACGCCGGAAGGCGACGACTTTTGAGAAAAACTGCTCAAGACGAGCTTCGATACCGAGGCGGAATCAAGAAGTTTGGTGCTACGAGCGGACCCGCGACAGAAGTTTCTTGATCCGAAGAACTCGTTAGAAGAAAAAGTCGTGTTTCGAAGAAATAGTGCTCAGTTCTGACCCTTCGATCCCTATCGATTCGCGAGGATTAAACGAAGACAAGTGTCCTGCGAAGAACCGGAGGGTATCTGAATCTTAACTCCATCGGAGTTTCGATACGGTAGATGAAGGTTTGAGACTCCCTCGAAGTTCCACGAGAGCAGCGACCGTTGGCGATCCACAGCATCTAAAACGCATTCGATCCCAGATCGGTCGAGGTTCACGTCCATTCTCTGATTTGGAACTCCATAACTTTTGCCTTGCCTAGCAAAAGTTTCTGTGAGTTTCGGCTCGGAGTCGTAGAAGTTTTGGCTCTGACGCTTCGTACGAAGTTCCTGTCCAACGAGGACCTCCACGGTGGCTCTTGTGCAGGCATGCTCGAACCTGTGACGGGTCTCTAAGGCTTTTGTTGTATTGTTGCGACCTGCAGACGGACCGAGATCCAACTGCTCGTTGTTCGGCTTCTAGCTCGCAGCCGTATGCGTTGTTGGTGAAGAAGAAATAAGCGTCTCCGATTGTCGACTGCCTCGGTTTCCGACCAACCGGCTTTTTCAACTTCAAGTCGGTGAATACGATTCCCCCGAGTTCAATGAAGTTCAACGCCTAAAACAGAATCATCATGACTCGCATGGACTACCTGAGACAGAGTTTCACTCTTCCGAACAAGAAGAAGACCAGATATCCCCCGAACCTTAGCAATGAGGTCTCCGTCAAGGGTATCCCCATAGGCTCGGCCAAGATGAAGGCCCACAAGGTCAAGTCCCTCAAACAGGGCGACACCGATGTCCTGGTCGGAGATCGGCTCGAGGACATCTACGCCACATTGCCCAAACGTCAAGTTCCTGATTTCTACGGAGGCGACATGGAGGTCGAGGTCAAGAAGCCTCCTGTCGCGTTGGACGATAATTTCCTAAGCGTTTCAACCTGTGACATTTCTTCGGATTACGGCTCAGAGTTCGATCTGACGTTCCGGCGTAGCGGAAGGTCCACCCTGTACGCCACGCTGAGGCGCGGGAAGAAAAACTTTTCGATAAATCCACAACCGACTCCCGACGGTCTTCCACCTCGACCGTTGTGTCGAGCGGTACCGGAAGCCTCCCGGAGTCGCCACCGGAGTCCGATAACGGCAGCATTAGAAGCAGCCAGATCTACGGGACGATAGGACGTTGTACTTCGAAGCGGCGGGAAGCGCTGCCGCCGTGGTTGTGCGATACTTCGACAAGTTTGCCGACGACGCCTTCTCTCGAACTCGCACCGACGGCGTTTCGAGAGCCGCCCCCATCCGTTCAGCCACCGGCCAGCATGGTCGGCAGTCTGGAAGATCTCCATCACTCGGATACGAGCTCGGTGAAAAGCTTCGGAAGCTCGACGTCCGCGTCTACATATTCAAACCCCAAAGAACATATTTATTTGCGACCGGCGATGCTCGGCTCCGCTCCGCTCCAACCGTCGCCCGCGAACCACCATCCTATGGGACAGAACGTGTACAAAAGTGCCGAGGAACTGAGCAGTCTGTGTTCGTGTAGAGAGCGATGTGCGCATAGTGTTTCGGGATACCGCGTTCGAGCCTGCAAGACCATGGAGCCCCTCTGGGAGAGCGAAGACCAGGTCCAGCTCCGAAGAACTTCGCAGAAGTGGTACGACACACGTAAAGCGAAGCACAAGAGCTGTCCTGCGTTCCAGGTGAGGTCTCGGTGCCGCAGGGCAAACATATGGGGAGATATCGGAAGAATAAAGAAAAATTATCCCACACGGAAAGCGGGTGGGATAAACAGCGATTATTCGGATTTTGTGTGAACCAGTTCCCAGGATAAGCGATGAGTAGGCACACTTGTCGTCGGAAGGTGTTCAGAAGCTCGCGGAAATGTGGGCTTTTAGGGGGAAGTTGAAAGCGGTATTTTTTTTCGGGTAGAGAAGCGAGTCTTTTGAGCTGGATACGACCGGCGATTCTCTGTAGCTTCGAGCAGATGTGAGGCGGGTGAGAATCTTTTGGAGGTCAGAGGAAATAGAGGAAGAGTCGACTAAGTGTCATCTTGGGCTCGGTGCCCCGGAAAAGAGGTCGGGACCGACTTCAAGGTCTCATTCGGACTTACTGCTCTTTCCCATAGTTGAATGATGATTTTTTAAAGGGTGGTTCGGGGAAATGACAACTTCGAGTTGTTTATATCTACGGGACGATATAAGCCAGCGGAGGAAGGGATTCCTCGTTGTCTATTCGTGTGCCTGCGTCTGCGAGCCCTAATCCTGCTGAAATCCCGGGCAGCTCGAAGGACTCTCGGATGATCTGCTTGCGAAGTGATATGCGTTAAATACTGATAGGAGAGAAAGAACGGCCGCGGCAAGCGAAACGTTGTCGTCGTAGTACCTGTCGGTAGCCACCGCTTGCTCCACGGTTTAGTGGTTTATGACCGAAGATTTCGACGGCCCCCTATTGTTTGATGGTTGAGCTGAGCGGGCCGCTCGGTTTCTCGGCTGCTTGAGGTACAGGTGCTGAACGCGTGCTCGTTCGCCGGCTCCCTCACTCACTCGCTCGCTCGCTCAGAGCTACCGCTCGTAACCTGCACTGGAGCCCGTCTGTGAACTCCCGCTTTCTGCTGTTCAATCCAGACGCTAAGAGCTTCTTCTATCATTCGTCTCCTCCTCTCTACCTGTCGATGGACGATGATATGTCTCGGATAGTTTGTGGAAGCTATTTAATCAGTCACTATCTGGTGAGCGAGATCGCGGAGCTTTCTCGAGTTCGGAAGATGGAATCGACTCCGGTATCGAGCTTGAGGACCCACGGGAAACTCCGCTGTTCTCAAGCATTTCGCTTCGCGATTCCGGTAGCGAACCCGAGTTGGCTCCCGAACGATTTCCTATTCAGGTAGCTGTGCCATGGCGAGTCGACTCCTCCCTGACGCGGTATTTTTCAAGATTTCGCCGTAAGCATCTTGAAATTTTCTTCTCGTCCTGATCCGCGCGCCACGAGCTCGCCCTAGTCGACGCCGTCGACCGACTTTGAATCATCCAAATTGCGGCACAAGGAGTCACTGACAGATTCAGTGATACTATCTCCATAGACGAGAATCTGATTCCCGTGTCAACATGCACGGTGCAGCTTCGGTCACCGTTCCCTCCTCCCTATTTTTTACCGATGTCACTGACTGTCGCACGCTCTTTTCGACAGTGTCTTGACGGGAATCTGTCAACGCTGCTCGTCAGCAGTGACTTGCGCTGATTCAGAGTGGCGGGCGACGGAGTCTGCCCTCATTCTTCATCCATGGGCTTTGTGTCCCCACAGAATCTCTTCCCCGATGTTCGTTGGCAAGTCCAACCAGAGAATTGGGAATCGATAAATTGTTAGAGAGTTCCTCGGTACTCGGATATTTTTCTGGGCGCCGAATGGCAAGATTCTCTGGTGGAACTGCTCTTAAAACTCCGTCCCCGGGGCTCTTCGGCAATCGGGGTTCTGTTCGACTTCGATAAGCGATAAATCGAGCGGCGATTAGTTCACGGAAACGATCGCTGGCGCCAGCGCGTTGAAGGGTGCTCGGTATATCTTTCACAATTTTCTCGAGGCTGACCGTTGGATTCTTTTGAGGTACCATCAGCCGAGTTGTCTCGTTAGAAAGCATTGTTGCTGTTCGATCTACAGCCCGGGACTGGGGCGCCTTTACGACCAACAGCCGTCGGTTGTTGCTGTTGTCGTTGCCGTCATGTTGATGTTGGTCCTGGCGGCGGTTACCCACTTACCATGCGACCTGACGACGATCTCCTCTGCTTGAAGAGACGGCTAAACACCACCCGAAGGTACAGAACGAGGAGCTTTCGCTCGAGTTTAGCTTTCTTTGTTTGGCTCTAACTCAATGAGATATCCACCCTCGTTGTCCGACGAGGGAAAAGAACAAGGGAATCTATAAGAGCAAGATAAGCAACGTTTACACCGATTGTGGACCGTTGGGATTCCAAGCTAGAGGCTGCGATACCGAAATCGTTCACCGACTCTATGACATTCCCGGAGCCCTTATTACCATCATTCGGAAACAGTATCAAACCGAAGAGTGACCTCGCATCGCCGTTGCGAGCAAATCGAGATGGCGAAATAAAAATTGGAGCTCGTTCGTCACCGAAAGTGAGCTTCTGTCCGCATTGCCGCATCAGCCGAAAATTTTCGCCGTACTTCACCGACTTTGTCGTTTTCGACGAACGTCTGCACTTTCGGAGTTGCGGAATATTACAGTTCACGGATCGACAACTTTACTGAAGATCACTGCAGTTTTCCCTCCATTGCGACGTGCGATGGAACGACTGCAGCAATTTCGAGGTACCTTGATCGAGAAAGTCGACCAACACTGTAGATTACTCAGTGATTGCCCCACAGGCGAACTCATTTATACCTCGCTTCGACCAGACGGGACATTCGGGTCGTGATGAAAGAATAAAGAGATTCTGTTTGAGAGCACGTGTTCGAGGGTGTTGGCACGCTCGATTGCTTGCTCAAAGCTTTCTTTTCCCTCTCACTCGCTCTCGCTCAACAAGCTTGGCCTCTCACGAGAGGGATCCGATGAGCATAAGGAAGAGGCGACGGCTGCCGTCACCATCGCCTGGATCACACGACCACCCCAAATACCTCGTAGCCGATCGGAAAAAGAAACAAATGCTCCGATCTTGCGCTAGAATAGGCCCGGTCGAACCGACAGCATGCTCGTTCTTAGCCAAACACACTGTGAGTGAAACGACGACGCTGCCGCGATGAGAAACAGATCGCGGGCTGTTCGCGACTGAATACCCAATTAAGAGCGTGCATATTGAAGAGCCAATTCGTTAGGTGACGGGTGGCTCCTCCGGGCAGGCACTGATGGATTGCTCGTTGCGTTGCTCGATTTGTTGAGTTAGACTCTTGGATTCATCTCTTCTGATGCCTCAAGACACGGGTGTAGATCGATATAGCGCGTCCAAAATATTGAAACTCTATGCCCGCCACTCGATCATAGCCACTCAGAGGCGATTCCGATCACAGATTCCCCCAAGTTTTCGACAGACAAGCCGTGTATGCTGCGGATGTTCTGAATGGCTCTGCGTCGCTTGGCGGCATTGACATCGAAATTACCAGTCGAATCGAAGAATCGCTGGACCCTGGGGAAAACGGTCGTCCATCCTCCGGGGTCGAATCACAACATTACTTCAAATATTCGGATGCATATTCTCCCTGAGTTTCGTGGAATGCCCATCGACCATGGTCGATGTTGAATTGACTGAGGATTCGAGCCTCGTAAATTCCTCAAGACAGTCCTTAAGAGAAAGACGATTAGAGCTTCACGCATTTTCTCTGCCATTCGAGTCAGTTACTATTTTTGGTGAAGGCGAGGCTCGAAAGCAGGGTGAATTAAATTTCAATCTAGGCAGGGCTTTGATCACGGCTGACGGTACGCGTGAAGAGATTTTTCGGCCCACGGCCATTCTCATCAAATCATTTTCATCCAGCCCGACACCACTACAACTTGGGATGATGTTGAGGCCGACACAAACCATGTGTGGCCCGTGAACCATCAGAAATGGTTCGCCACCAGTCACCACCAATCATTCGCCGGGACATCTCCGGGAAATAAATTCCCTCGGCGATCCTTGCCGCTCATTCTGTTGGAAAATCTTGGATCGTGATAGGCTGCCTCGAGAAACTCGGGAAACTGTAGGACTGCGGATCGATTTGGAGGCTTGCACCGAACGCGAATCCGCGATCCCATGGGTTACGGCGGCGGTGGTCGTCGTCTTTGTCGCGTTCGCCCGAGGAAGGAGAAATCGATTCGTGTTATTGACTCTTTTTCTCGTATTGTGCGCCACCAACACAATCGCCGGGAAGGTGTCCGTATGCCCATTGAACGACGTCGGGGTAGAATTTCGGACTCTTCTGGGACCGCGGATTGTCCTCGGTCACGAACAGATAGTTCCGGACGAATGGAATTGCCGTGAGAATCGTTGTTCGACCATACTGGGGACGATCAGAGGAAAGCGACCGAAAGAAGGGCTGATATCCGAGTTCATCGTATCGCGACTCGAATGAATTCGAGCCTCTGTAGCGACCGAGCCAGCAGGTTTTGCGTTCGATACCTGCCGCCTATTTATTTATCGGGACCGTGATAAGCGGTCCCGAGGGCGAATTTGAATCCGTCTCGCTATGTATCTTCAGTGCCCTCGGGAGGGCCGAGGTCCTCAAGGAGGCTGGGACCGTGACCCGACCTTGGGAGCGAAAACCATATCTCGATAGGCGGGAGCCTTTTTCAATCCCAGAAATTGCGACCGAGCGGAGACGTGCTCGACAAACTCTACAGGAAGTTTCTTCAAAATCACGAAAGTTTTCGAGACGAACCTCGAAGGCTTATGAAACCCAGCGAAGTGGGGAAGCGTTGTGAAGGTCTCCTCAACGAGGTTCAGCTGTGGTTCTTGTTGCTGTACGGGGCCCCCTTTTGAATTTTGTGAATGGGCTACGCTAGCGACCGCGATGCCGGCACCAGCTGTTGAGGATGGGGGAGTTGAGGCGCGCCCCCTGGCGTCAACAACCGGGATCAGTTTTTTTCTGCTTATCTCTCCCTCGCTTTATTCTCGTTTTCGTTTTGAATAGGGATGTCTGGCTCGTCGGTTTCGAGCCGATGGGGCTTCGGTTCTGGTAGTCGATGTATCTGGCTCAGTCAGCTCTAATCTTC